GGTAGGACAGTTTCAATAATTAACACATTGCATACATTCTTCCTAGTGGTTAATTGCTGTACAAGATGCGGACATGATATCCTATTTACAAACATCATTAGAACAAATCCCTCTATTCATTAAATATTGGAAATTTTTAGATAAATATTCTGGTTACTGTTTTACATTAAAAAAATCATTGGATGATCCTTGGGCCTTTAAATTCACCTGGGATATTAAGTAGTTGCTGCCTTCTAGTAAAGGGCCGTGTACTGGCCAGTTGGGCATTGTGTCTGCCTGGCTCTCCTCACCTAGCTTGCTCCTGAAGGCACTTAAGTCCTGAGAATATAGTGTAACAAGTTAGGGTTTGGATCAAATATGATGGTGTTGACTCAGACACCCAGAATTCTACTTTATACCACAGTGTTCCCCACTCTCTCATCCCTCCCTGCATGAACTGTAATACTGGTAACGATAGAGTACCTTTGTTCTTTACCGTGTAAGTAAGAAAAAATGAAACTCTTTTAGATAGCTCATAGAAAATATTACAAATCCATAACTATGGGTGCTATTTTTCTTGGATTGAATTTTTATTTTTCTAGGATTTGAAAACTCCTAAAAGATGATAACTGTTTCTAAACTCAACATTGCGCCAAGCTTGTAATACAACTGCACCTCCAAAGCTAGTTAGCTAGCAGAGCAAAAGTTGACAAAAATCAGCCCTTGGCTGAATGCATATTGTCAGGGAAAGTCTATATTGGCTGCCTATCAAAAGCTGCAGTGGCATTGGTATTTGACCTCCACCTGGCCTGCCTCTGAGTTTAGATGCTTGTGTGGTAGGCAGCTTCATGTGGGTGCAGACACAGCTTGTGCAGATGGCATCTTACATCAAGCAAAACACTGAATCTGTTTATTTTGCTATCCCCCAAGGTTTGTTTCTCTCCTAGGCCATGAAAATGTACAGAGAGGAAGAGGAACTAACAATTGCGAGGACACTCTTTAACTAATGGGCCTATGGGACAGTAGATAAATTTTCTCACCTCCTGTCCTTTGAAAGACAAGAAGCGAAACGACGCATTACATTTTCTCTCATTTTTACTGGTACTATAGCATGAAAGTTCTAAAAATCAGTGAAAAGCAGATATGAAAGGATAATTATAACCATATATCCAGAGTCAGGTGGCAAGGGCATTTTATTCACCTGAAAATCAGTAACACACAATATATTATGAGGAAGGATGGTGCCAAGAGATAAACATGATGGATACCATTTCCTTATTGCTTTTAGTGCACAGCAGGCAGAGCAGTATCATCCTTTCTTGTGGTTGTTAAGGGAGACAGAAATAGAAAATCACAGGCAGGGGAGAGACGAGCATATGGAAGGAGAGGCCAAAGAAAGGATATGGCAGAGTAATGAGACCAACATAGATAGATAAATAGATAGATAGATAGATAGATAGATAGATAGATAGATAGATAGATAGAGTTAGAAAGAAGTAAAAAACAGTACTGGCAATTATTGGCAATTATATCTGAAGTGGCATAGAAACACAAATGACAATTTAGGAAAAAATAGAATCTTGATTAGCTCCACATGCTAGAAATTCAATGGCGTTTGTTTGAAAGGAGGATTTCTTCACTTTTCACCCTTTTAAGTGGAAATTTGATATTTTACTTTCATCTTTTAGACATATAATATATCCTCAGCTACTACAGTATGCTTACCATGTTCTTCCGTAATTCCTTGACAAATTTATGCTAAATAGTAATGATCAGAGAGTATGAGGAAGACACTACGTTAATTCATGAGTCTTTTAGAGTCTTTGTCCAAAACATTTCCCCATATCTATTTATTTATGACTTTTAATCCCAAGTGAATTATATTACACAGATTTAACTCTAGCCTTATGTCTCTGACAACTGAATTCAAATATGAAATCATTGCTTCACAGGCTAGGGAATAATATTTCTAACACATTAACCACAATTATTTAATAAAATAAAACACTTGTATTTTTCAATATATATATCTCAACAATCCAATTTTATGTAGCAGCCCACAATTAGGTTAAGCATAACCAAGCTGTTCATCATGGTAAGAGTCCATTTTTCAGGGCCTATTGTGAAATTTGGCATGGCTTCGAAATTATGAGCCTTATTTAAAGTATAAAAGAAGAGGGCTGGCCAAGTAGCTCAGTGAATTAAAGCTCCTGCAAGCAGGTGCAGGGGCCTGGGGTTCTATTCACAGGCCTGATGTGCTGGCTCCACCCCTGGGGTACACTGAGACAGCAATTGAGGCTGGGCATGGTGGCACACGCCTGTAATTCCAGCTCTTAGGAGGCTGTGAACAGGCAAATCACTATGAGTCTGATCTAGTAGTGAGACCCTGAATACCCTGTAGACCCTTCCCTAAAATACAAAAAATAAATAAATTAAAAAATAAAGTATCAAAGAAGAAAAGAAAATGAGTTTTACCTTATTGATTTTATTATTCCTCATGTTCTTTATATTTCCTTTTAATAAACTAAATACCTACTGTGTTTTATCCACGCATGTGGTGATATAAGGACATCACCTCTACAACAGAGTGGTGAATGTGGTGGTGCATGCTCTGAGTCTCCTTTGTGTATTTGGTTATAATTTACTCTGCAGATCCTACTGGGATAAGAGACGCTTGTCTATAATAAATACTTCACATATAAGATTCCTACATCCTCAGACTTTCTTTAATAGACTCACACAATCTCATTTCTTCAATTGTGTGACATAGGTGCTGACTTTTAGATGAAAGTTAAAACCAGAAAAATGGAACTATAGATCTCACTTGTTTGTGGACAATGGGGACAGTGAATTTGTCACATTTCATATGCAGCAGTGTCAGCAGAGAAAACCTGACACCTGTGTTCATACCCATGGACAGTTTATCAGAACAATCTGTACAGTCTTGTTAGTTGAGACTGACGCCATAGATAGGATCTATTTAGTTCTGTAGATCTCCCACTGATTCATCTGAATGTAGAATATCTTTGTAATAAATTCATTTCTTCTTCTACTATCCAGAATTAACAACTAATAAAAATTTGTACATAAACAGACATTCAAACACATACACTCGTGTTCTCTTTAATCTATTAGATGATAGATATACTTACTATGAGATTCTGTTGATATATTCTTAATGATATTAAGTTATATGATGAAAGCAAGAAAACTAACGTGTTGAAAATCTACCATGTGCCTGACATTATATTTATTAAAATTTTGTCACACGTATTTGACTATTACCTGCAAAATAGCTGTTTCTAATGGGTACTATCTCACTACAGCAATGTTAGGCAAGTAGCATGCAGAACAAAATTCTTGGCACAGAATTGTCTAAGCCCAACAAATTTTAGTCTACTACACCTCCATATTAAATGTCTGTGGGGTCATTTTTGTGCTGGCTTTCCAAACTGATAAGTGCCAGAAATGTCATGTGGACAAAGATAGGTGAGAAGTGCAAAACAGGAGACTTGTGACACTGAAACAATATACAGAGAAGCCCTTCCATAAACAAGTTTAGAATTTCACAGAAGTAAATAGGTTTGTGTGCCTTTTTTTATTTTATTTTATTTTATTTGTTTTTTTTT